GATTTAATTTTTTGGAAGTTAGGAATATTTGGAATCAAATTTATTATTCTTGAAGTTCTAAAATGAACGTTTTGAAGTTACTAGATTTTAGCCAAAATTTTTACTTTCTTGAAGCTTTTGAAGCTTTTTCGAAATATGAAGAACTTCTGGTTTTTGGGAGTTTTGGAGTTTTCTAGGAATTTCATATTTTCTATTACCGAAATTCTGAAATCATCAAAACTCATATTTTGAAGGTTTCACTGTACTGCAACTCACGTTTCAGTAAATCCATTCTGCAGAATCGTTCCGAATTCTGTACATGTTCACCTCAGATGTTCTGTGCTGGAAAAAATTTTAGTACGAAAAAAGAAAGCAGTTTATATTGAAAATTTCGAGAGATGACAGAAAAACAGGTTAGCAGCACTGAAGTTTTAACTAAAAAGTTTTTCTCTTTTTTTCGACGGAGAACACCCGTTCAGAGAAAAAAAAACGCTACCCCGTAAGTCAAAAAGACGAGACTCGCGGAAACGCGTAAGAGACGCAGACGGCCAAGAATGAGAATGCCCCGTGCAGCACATTTTCAAGGAAGAAGGATCGGTGTGGACGGACCCAGTGTGGTGGAGGGAAGGACGAGAGAGGGGATACCCACAGTAGAGAACAAAAAGGGAAAATGGAAAAAAAACGAGTGCGAGTTGGAGAAAGTGGGGGAGAGGTGTAATAATTTTTCCAATAAATTGGGATAAAATGATATCGGAGGAAACACAGAGAAATTTAGAAATTTCACAAATTTCATGGAGAAGAAGAAAAGGATATCGAATAGTCAAAAATTTTAAGATTTGTGAAAAATCTCGCGTTTTAAAATCGAGGTAATTTGAAAGTCCTGTGAAGTTTTAAACTTGTGCATAGTAAAAGTCAAGTGTAGACTCTTTTCTAGGTGGTCTGGAAATAAAAAACTGGTTTTGCTGTTTTTTCTGCATTTCAGATTCTAGAAATCCCAATAAAATGAGTTTTATTTTTTGTCGTTCTCCATTCTGAAATGTTTTAACTTTCGGTCCCCTTTTTTCCCATCCACATGATCATTCTCTCCATTTCCTCCCCAATGCCGATGCGCGCATAATTTCTTATCAGTATCAGTGGTAATTGTTTGAGAGCAGTCTGTTTGAGCACATACATACACACCCAGCCCAACATTTTATAGTTTTTGCATGGAAGGGCAGTTGTCACATGAGACGAAATATAATGAGCGGATAGGTGAATGGAAAGTTTTGAAAAAAAAATCAAGGATGTGCATTTGTAGATTAGAAAAATGAAATTGATAGAAAAAGGAAGGATTTTGACTAGTTCAAATTTGAATTATTGTCTATTCAGATGAAAGAGTAAAAATGTCTGTGTCTCTACAGCGCCTCTACAGGTTTGGAGACTCTACACGTTTTTTTACTCGTTCACCCGCGCGATTATTTTGAATAGACAATATATTTTTAACTGATAACATATTCACTTATGAATAAAATTCGGTTTAGTTTTAAAAAGACTCATTTCTTTCTGATTTTTTCCTTATTTCTTAATCCCGAAAAAGATATCCTTGATAAATTAGATGGTGATGAAAAAAAAGAGACGTAAAAAAGAGGAAAGATGCATCTTTCGAACCAACTGTTCTCAAGAGAAGATGTTATCTGGTGTATGCGTGTATGTATATGCCAAGAGAAGAAAAAAAAATAAAGAAGAAAGAAAAAAGAAGAGTTGATGTGACTGCGGAGACAAATGGGTTATAGGAAGAAGGCATCATGAGGTAACCCGCGAATTTTGAATAGGTCAACGGAGAGAAAAAATTTTGAGGTAAAGTAGGAAAAAAATCAAGAAATTAAAATCAGCTTCATTTCATCAATTATTTTAATTCGATTTTCCGGAGTGTGGAGTACGGCTGTCAAATATCCGATCAATTCAAAAATTACGGAGAGTACGAACAGACCTAGATTGAAAGCTTTCCATTCATATAACTGTTTGAAAATCCCTAGTTTTCTGACAGTGAAAAACGAGCTCCACGTTCCTGAAAATGATCAAAATCAATTGCAAAACACGTTTTTGCATATCTTATTAACCAGTTATTAACCAGTACTGACATTGAGATCAACTTTAAAGAAACTCCAAACCCAATAAACTGGAGAAAAACTATTGTAAAGTGGGGCCTCGTGATCAGATAGCACTCGAGATAGTGTGGATATCCTGGAGACCTAATTTTTGGGAATCGAAGATTTCAAAAACTTCCATTATTACGCCTTTTATTACAACTCTGGCTGAAGTCTCCCTCTTTTTTTCAATTACGATTGTTCTGACATGGAATAACTCCCAAGTTTTTCCTTCGAAAAGAAATCGAGACCTATATGGTTGAATAGAGCGTAAAAAAATTATCTTAGAATCCAAACGGAATAGTTGGTAAAAAATTTTTTTTGGAGTTATGACCCAAAAAGTACCAAAAAGGCATATTTTTTCAAAAAGTCGTAACTTTGTCAGTCTGCGTGGGTATTTTAAAAACTAAAAAATAGTTAATAAAAAATAAATGGAGATTTTAAAAAAAGTCATTTAAAAAACGTCGAAAGTTTTTGAAAAAATTTCAAAAATTTCAAAAAAAAAATCAAAAAAAAGCACCTGCATAGAAGGCGGGCACTTTTTTGTATTGTTTTAACATACGTATTAAAGGTGGGAGGACAGGAGATTTTTCGTAGTTTTTTTGTAGCTAGAGTATGCATTCTACCGTGACGGTGTACAACGCTTAATGTCACTCTGCGTACAGCTGTCGTCCTTGCCTTTATGTATGCAATCGGGAGTGCGCTTTCTCTTTGCCCCCGTGGCTCAGTCGGTAGCGGCGCCGTACCCTCAATCATCGCCCCCACAAGTTCAACTCCTCGAGGGGCATATTTAAAAGGAATTTCGAGAACATTTTTTTTTCATGTCTCCCCACCTTTAAGTGTTTTGAATATTTGAAATATAATCCTTATAATCCTACAGTTCAAATTGTTGGAAACATAAAAACTTTTGACTTAACATATTGTGTAAATATGTGAAATGGCAAACGGGTCGACTTTGATTCTTCAAACCTGAAAGGATACCTTACGAAATCGTCTATTTCACCTATTTAAACTAAACGGACAAAACCAATATCATTTTTCCTGTAGTATTTTACAATTTTAAACCGAATGACATTTACAGTTTTTCAAAATTTTGTCTAGTTCTCGAGTTACAGTCCGAAACAAGAGGTGTCCCATCATCAGTGAATGTTTTATTTTTAGGGCCTAATTTAAAATTTTGTCTAAGCCGTTGATAGGAATATGTACTTCTTATGATCGTTGAAAATGAGTTTAGCTGTTTCCGTCAAGTTGAAGTTATGCACTGTCAAATGACAAAATTCGTAAAAATAAAGGTCAGGCTCGGGAAATCGTGAATATCTTTATTTCTAGAGCCTAAATCAAAATTTGCATCAAGCCAAATTCAAGATTTTGTTTTTCTTTTTATGTTAAGTCAAGAGTTTTTATGTTTCCAACAAGTTGAACTGTAGTTATGCACTGTCAAATGTCAAATTTTTTCCATTCAAAATGATAATTTACGAAATAGTTCGAAATTTAAATAATGGACATCAGGTGTTGAAGAATTCTATTTCACATATTCGAAACGCTTAATGCGCATGTTAAAACAATACAAAAAAGTGTGCTCATCACCATACCGACCGCTAAGGACAACAAATTCAAAAAATCGACATTTTTTGTTAAAACTTGAGTGAACATGATTGCCCCCGGTGTATTGATATGTTTCTATAGTAAATCAAAGTCTGCATAACTCGAATATCAAATATCAATATTTTCCAGAAAGCGTGGTTTCTGATCTCACCATCGTGATGCTATGTGATCTCACTTTGGAAATCTTCGCCAATTGGCAAAAGGTTAGTTTTCATATCTAAACCTTCTGAAATTTTCATCAATTTTTTTTCAGACTTGTTTTTCCTACCTCGTCAAACACTTATTACGAACTCTAATTCTAATTGAAAATATAGATAATTGTTTGTGTAATTCAAAAAATTTGTACTTCTAAAGAAAATTTCATAAGTTCAAATGTTTAAGAACCATGAAATATGTTTAAATGCGCTTAGTACATTGAATTTACATCAACTTTTTTTAGCATAACCCTTTATGCATGGATTCTGAAATTTCTCATAACTGCTCAAGCCAATTGAAAATGTGCACAGAAAACTGATGGTTATTTTTTTAAAAGCAATTTTAATTTTTTTACGCTGTATTAAACATACTTGTAAAAATCCGGGCCGGCCCGGAAGGCCCGGTAGCAAAAATTTTGTCATTTTGAGCCAAATTTTGAGCTCTCAATACAATTTTCTACATTTCTTTTGTTTTTTTTTTGGATTGTTTGTCTGTTTGATCAAAAAATATTTTTAAAAACTTTAAAAAAATTTTTGATAGAAAAAAATCACATAAGGACCCCTCCTTGTGTGTTTTTTGAAATCTTCAAAACTTGTGCAATGACAGGCCCGTCGGGCCGGGCTGGACCAGGCCTCCGAAATTCAGGAAAAAACCCGGCTCGGCCCGTTACAAGTATGGTATTAAATGCATATATGCAACTGGCCGTGCCGGGGTTTTTTTCAGAATTTTTTGAAACCCGGATTTTCAATAATTTGTTTCTTGTCTTTAAAAAAATGTCGTGCTCAATTTGAAACGAAAACCACGAAAGTTTTGAGTAAATAAGAGGACACCACTTTTTGAAAGAGTGCTTTATCAGTTTGAGCAAAAAAGTTTAAATTGGAAGAATTCGTTTTATAGAGACAATTATCAAAACAACAGAGCTCAAAATAGTTTCAATAAAGCATTGCTAGTCATAAAAACGACACGTGCAATTGTTATCAGCGACTTTTTTCTGTTTTGCTTCATTATGGTTTACATTCTGTGAATTCGGTATTTTCTCTCTGTTTATTTTATTTTCAAAATTTTTTGAATAGTGAATTGTTTTCTTCAGAAAACATGGGGTGGAAATTGGCTGCGGTTTTGTTAGTTCTCTTAATCAAATGTAGGTGATAGGTTTTGGTATTTTTACAAAATCTTTTTAATCGTAAAAAATATTTTACAGACACCAATGCTGATTGCACTTGCTATGAGCCAGGAAATTACACGGGAAGATTAGCTCCAATCAGTAATTCTTTTGATAATTCTGACTTCTCTTCATGCTATACACCTTGCTCTTTCCTTGCCTACAGCGGAGATGATACTCGCAGATGGGGTGTAAGTTCCCTTTATATTTTGTATGATTTCAAGTTAACCAAATATTTAGGGACTCACAATCAACTGGGGATCAGTAGAAGATAACTCGGGAATTCTTCAAATTTTTGACGGCACCGACATTACTGGAATCCCTTTAATTCAGTGAGTGCGTTGGATTGAGCATTTCCGATGCATTGATTTTTTACAGAGTTAGTGCTGGTACGAATGTGCTAAGTGGTTCCACTAAAAACTTGATCAAAAGCTCGCAACCAAGAATTACCATTAAGTATACTCAGACAGGAACTGGGGCAAGTGAGTTCGAATTTTTCACTATCACAGTATGTCACATTATGCTAAATATTTGAAAAATGTTATATTTACCTGATTTCTGATAAAAGCTTCTAATTTTTGTTGTTTTCAGATGTTTATTATGGCGTCATCAAAGCCACACCAGGTCTCCAAGCAAGTACTCTACCAATCAACACTGTTGCACCAACAACAAACACTTGAAGTAATCGTACTTTCCAGTATGACTCATATTTTACCACTCACGATATTTTATCGTGGTCCACTGAAAAACCAGTGAAAGAATGATTGTTCTCAAAAATTTCAGTGATTGAAAAATATTACATATGTATATTGACATATTGTCTCACTTTGGTTTTCATAAAACCACATTGCCAATAAAATTTTATCTTACATCAACGAAATCGTCCACAACTTTGTCAAACATCTCTAAATGTTACTGTCATCAGTAGCTTAGCTGGCACAAGGCCTCCTGGACACTATGTTATCCATAATACTCGATTCGAGCGGCAGTTAGTCGGTACTAGAAAATATATAATCACATGTTCCGTATATTGTCCGATTTGGGAATGAAATAGACGATGTTATCAGCGTCTTAAAAACTTCGAAAAACTACTGTCTCTCCCTCTTTAAAGATCAAAAATGTATCATTAAACTCAACATTTCATAACTCTATCATCTAAAAATCCTGTTTTACGGAACACGTAGTTTCTTATTTTACCATTATTATCTTCAATTACTCAAAACAAAAAAAAAGTCAAGCGTTACTAACTTCCACTTCTTTTACTATGCATTTTTCTCCCGCCTACTTCTGTTTCTCGACTTTTTCTCTTTTTTTGTGAAATTTTCAGTAAAAACAATTACTTGTTCGAATTCTACGTAGTCGATTACAGGAAACAAATTACGTAGTCGATTACATAAGAAGACAATTCAAATCGATCCTTCTTTTCTAGCCATAGTTACAGCCAGTCAAACAGCCAAAATACCGCCGGGACGAAAAAATAATAAACTCCGCCCCTTTTTCTGTGTTCGCTAGTTATAGGCTTCATAAGTTCAAGAGTTCAAGAAACAGGTAATCTTTTGAAATGTGTTTTTCTCTTCAGAGATTACTTACTACGGAAACACTAATACATGGTGACTATTAATCTTTGCCACCAAACTTGCGAGCTAGATGTAATGTACACCAGATGAAACGATTTGTGTTTTTATTGAAAATCTTTTATTCAGTGTTAATTTTTCTGTCAAATGTTATGAAACTGAGTGAAATATAGCGGCTTTCATACATTTTGCATCATTATAGATTTTAAGAGTCTGAAATTATTTGATCCAAAATAATGTAATTTTTCATTCAGTTTCAGGAGAGCTGTGAGGGTTTGAATCGGCGTCAATAATTGATAGTCACTCTATAAAATAAGCCCTCAATTTTAAACTTTGATTCATTTATTTTTGGTCACTGTGAAAGATATAGAAAAAAAGATTCATTGATATGATGTTTTAATAATAATAATTTTGTCAGCTGACCGCTTTCTGGAATCTTCAGCAATTAATGAGAGGTACGAGCTCAAAATAGACCGCTCGGAAAAGGGCATGCTATCAAAGTGTTCTATGGATCTTTTTTTCTCAAAACTCAACTAACTTTCGGCACGTTAGGGCACAGAGGGGATGGGGGCAAGTCAGAAACGGGTAATCGAGATCTCAAGAAGTTTTTGGAATTGGGAGGGTGGTAAGAAGGTGGGGCAGTTCTTCACAATAGCGTTCCAAATTGGGATCGTTTGAGAAAAATTGTCGTTGATTTTGGGGTGATGGCATATAAGTAACATGGGGTGACGGGCGGAGGAGAAAATGGAAACATGTGAAGCAAGATTGGGAAAATAAGAGGCACCGCTAATCAATTTATAGAGTAAATAGTTGTGATTTGAGGCGACGATGGCGGATGGAGAGCATGTTTATGATTTGGAGACGATTTTCATAGGAAGAGAAGGGGATGTTACATCTTTGGAGGATTATTTTGGAGAAATGGCGGAGAGGTCGTTCTAATTTAAGAGAAAGCTTGGAAGAAGGGGGTGGAGAGTAGACAGCAGAACAGTATTCGATGATCGGTAACACATAAGTTTTGAAAAGCGCAGCGTAGAACAGCGGATTGTTGGAGCGGAAAGATCTAAGTAGTTGGTGAGATCGGAGCATGACAAGGGCGATTTTCTTGAGAATGTGTTGTTCAAATTTAAGGAGCGGGTCGGTGGAAGTTATCGAAATAAAAAAAACGAAAATCGATCGACAAGAATGGGCACAGTGCGCTCTTAAAAAATGTAGAATATCTTTTGGAATAACCTAATAATAAAAGTCCGGGCCTAAACTAAGACACTTTTCTGATCTATCTGTCCAGATGCGAGCAAAATCGGTTAACTTTGAGTGGGTGTAACGCCACGTGACATACATACATACAGATATTGGTGAATGTTAATAGTAATGATTATTTGTAAGATTGTCTCTTTTTGGTTTTCATAAAACCACATTGCCAAATTTCATTTGAGTCTCTGGCGCCATATAAACCGTATCACTTGATTTGAGCAAATGTCATTCGTTACAAGACAATTTTAAAATCAGACCCTCTGCACTAAATTATAACATTTAATTTTATATAATTCAATAAATTTTGAATTTTAGAGACTGCATAAGTTCAAGTGTTCAAGAACCAGGAAATCGTATGGAAATATGTTTCTTCCATCGGGAATTACTTGAAACGTAATCACTCTGATACACGATGGCTTTTAATTATCGAGATAAAACTTGCGGGCCAGAAACAAACTTGCGAATTAAAAAAAAATCATCAGACGCTCTAATTTGTGTTCTTCTATGATTTTCTCACTCTTCTATTCAGTTTTTATTTTTCTACCAAATTTCATGACACAACTTTCAGTCAGAAGGTAATTCTTATACCTTATTCTTATACATACCTTGTTCTTGTCACCATCGGTTCGATTGAAAGTAACAGCATGATTGATGCTGCGAAACCAGTCAGAGAGGACTTTATGTTGGTCAATCGTTCTGTCAACTTATTTTCGAATTATCCGAAGCTTCTGAAGCATGCCATCCGAGCGAAATAAAGTGGATTCAAAAAAATGTTGCATTATTATATATTTTGTGCGTTCAAAATTATTAATTCCAAGATTTTGAAATTGTTCGTCCAATTGTAGGAGAGTTATGAAAGAGAATCATGAACAATCGGTGTACACAATTAATAGCTCATTTATTATTATTTTTTTTTGGTTTCAGATGAAGGTATCAAAAAATGATTCACTGGGAAAATATTTCCGGTATATTCTTGACATTATGAAAAAAATTGTGTCATCTGACCACTATCTGGAATATTTTGAAAGAAGTGACGGTTCGGGGAAAGACATGCTATCAAAGCGTTTACGGTATTATGAATAACATTTTCTCAAGTTATCTGTGCTTTTGAACTTTACTTGTTTCCTATATGATGAATCAAATGCTCAACATTGGATTTGTTTTAACTCGAATTACTTTTATCATACACATGAAGTGGTTAATAGTTTGAAAATTTTCAGTTTTCAACATGCAAACTCATTTTTGATATAAAGAGACATTTCCGCTTTTATTGCGTCGAGGCAACGCATTGAAAGTACACAAAACTTTTGTTTCTAGAAAAACTAGTATAATGATTTAATTCAATAAAACGGAAGTTTTAAGCAAACAAAATGACATCACATTTTCTGATAATCCGCTTTATCAGTTCAGAAAAACATTAATTCTGGCAGATACTTTGTTCTACAGAAGACTTTGTCAGGTAAATGTTCAAAATATGCAGCAATGAAGAAATCTAAAAATGAGGAATGTTTATCATATTCGGGATAATTGGAGAATTATTTCTTGGATCTTCTGAAAGCACACACTTTCAAATTTTGCGTTCTAGTGGCATTGATTTTTTCACAGTACCTGTGCCTTGCCTAAGCGCCCACTTTCAGTATTGCAGCTCAAAAAGCAAAGAAAGTATATACTGATAAGAACATTCAACGCCGCGGAATTTTTTCATTGCTAGTCATAAAAGCGACGCGTGTGATCGTTATCAGGGATTTTTCGTTTTATTTCATTTTGAGTTTCATTCTATGAATTTGCCATTTCATTTCTACATTTTGGATTTTTAAACCCTTGTTCAAATAGTGAATTAGATTTTTTTTCAGAAGACATGGGGTGGAAATTGGCTGCATTTTTGTTGGCTCTTTCGATCAAATGTAGGTGATAGGACTTAGATTCTCCGGAATTTGTTGAAATTGTAAATAATTAATTTTTCAGACACCAATGCTGACTGCACTTGCTATGAGCAAGCAAATTACACTGGATTGTCAGCTCCACTCAGTAATTCATTTGAAACGTCCGACTTCTCGGCATGTTTCACACCTTGCAAATATGTTGCGTACAGCGGAGATGATACCTTTGGATGGGGTGTGAGTTTTTCTGAAAATGTTTTACTGATTCCCGATTTATCAAACATTTAGGGACTCACAATCAACTGGGGATCGGTAGCAGATACCACTGGAAAGATTCAAATTTTTGACGGCACTGACACTACTGGAACTCCTTTGATTGTGTAAGTGCATTGCATTAAAAGCTTTTTCAATATTCAGGTTTGTTGTTTGCAGAGTTAATGCTAAAGAGAATGTGGTGAAGGGTGATGGTAAGAGTTTGATCAGAAGTTCGCAGCCAAGAATTACCATCACGTATACTCAGGACGGACCTGGAGCTAGTAAGTTGAAACTTTTCACCGTCACAGTGAAAGAACTTTTCACATTTTTCCAAATACTTCAAAAACGTGATGTTTACCCGAGCATTTGTTTCTAGTGACAGTTTACAACTTAACTAGTTTTCAGATAATTACAATGGGGTAATCAAGGCCTCGTCAGGTCTTCAACCAAGTACTGTTCCAATCACCACCACTGCTGCACCAACAACCAGAACTTACAATGATCCTACTTTCAAGTATGATCCATATCTCATCACTCATGATATTATGATCGTGGTCAACCAAAGAACGAGTGGAGGGATGGCTGCTCTTACCCAAGTAAGTGACTAAAAAATTAAACGTAATGTAGTCTCACTGCGGTTTCCATAAGATCACATTACCAGTTAATTTTTCAGCTTAACGAGATCGTCAACAACACCGTGATGCAACTCTACACTACTACTGACATCAATAGCTCAACTGGCTCAAGACTTTCCCTGGCATCGCTAACACCATATTTTCCATACTATTCGATTCGAACTGCGGTTAGTCGATGCAAAACAAGTTTAAATTTACGTGTTCTGTACGTTTGCAGATTTGGGAATCTAGTGCTTTCGATGTTGTCAACAATTTGCCGAAGAGTGGAATCTCGATTGAAGGGAATATTGATACGTGAGTAAAGCAACATCATCTAATTATGTACTAAAACTGGAATGTTGAAAAAATATAGTTTGATTGATTTCTCAAGTATATTACTGACAACATGTGGGTGTGGTTTTTACACCATACCGTCTAAAATCAAATAAGCGTCACTTGGTTTTATATTGATAAGAGAAAAATGTACTTGGAAGAGATGAAAGTGGCTGTCGGTAGTAAGCAAGAATTACTGCTCCTCCTACCCCTTCAAGAACGTTTTTTTTTCTCGCGTGAAAGAAATGAATAAAGAAATATTAAAGCTTATTAAATCATCGCCTCGTCGTAGTATTAGAGTTCTTAAAGGTGGGGGGACATGAAAAAAATTATGTTCTCGAAATTTCGTTCAAAGATGCCCCTCGAGGAGTTGAACTTGTGAGGGCGATGATTGAGGGTGCGGCGCCGCTACCGACTGAGCCACGCGGGCAAAGAGAAAGCGCACGCCCGATTGCATACATAAATGCGAGGGCGACAGCTGTACGCAGAGTGACATTAACCGTTGTACACCGTGACGGTAGAATGCATACTCTAGCTACAAAAAAACTACGAAAAATCTCCTGTCCCCCCACCTTTAATGGTATTTCTTGACCTCATGTGCGACAAAATGTTTTAAAGAAAATTAAAGAATTTTCTGCATTTTCGCGAGTTTTTGAAGAATTGCAAAGTCATCAAAAAGTGTAAGCAAAAATTGGATTTTCTAGCGTTCCAGGGCGAAAAATTCATCTGAAGTTAAAATAACTAGACACCGAAATATAAAAACGGAAAAAAACTCAATTTCTCACAAGCGAATTTTAACGAACTCTTTGAACTTGGAAATCGTTTTACGGTATCGAAATTACAATTGTTAAATTCAGAATGAAATATTGAAACACACGGGTAGTTTTGGCAGAAGGTTTTATGAGATGTCATGTTTGTATAATTTAATTATTTTCAGAGCACTGACGGGTCTGGTAAAATTGGCATACACTGTGAACAATAACTCATCCATAGCCACAAGAACAAATGTACAACGATCAGTTGTTTTGTTTACCGCTGAATGGTGAGAAAATGAGGGGTTTTTCATTAGCAGCATAAAGTAAACAACTTCACTTGTGTGAAACGCATGAGATAGTACAGTGTTTCAAAACTGTTAAAACTGTTGTGACCAACGGAAAAATTCCAAAGTTTTAGAACAGCACTATGCAGTTCGTAAGCAAGTTATAACAACACCTTCATTTTAAACAAATTCCAAGATTTTCAATGTTTTAAATTTCTTTTTTTCGGATAACCGAAATGTTCAGGGAAACTTGTCTAACCATAAAACTGTTTTACTTTTTTTTTCTTGTTCTTAGAATCTGTTCAAAGTGTATCAATTGCATAAAATTGTGAACATATTGATGATTTATACTACGGTAGTGTTTAATCACAAGGATTTCAGGCCAACAACCGGAGCAAAGCTCAATACCTCGTATGTCAAAAAAGCGTTTGATGACTATGGAGTCAATCTGCTTGTAGTCGGTTTCAATCTTACTGATACTGAAAAAACCGCTTTGATGGGAGCGCAAGTGCAGCTCAGTGGTACAACGCTGTGAATACTGTCAAAACAACCAATGATGCCGTTGCATCATTTGTGAATCCGTATTATTTCAACGATAAATCTGCCCCGAACTTTTGTGAGTTGATTGAAAACAGAAATTTTGAAAAAACATTATGAAACAGTATTTTTCGTTTTTCAGGGTGCCCAATGTACCACCCCACCAGCAGCGATAATTCTTCATTTACTTTTCAAGAGCCATATAATTATGACGGACCGAACAGTACTACTGGCCAATGGAGCGTTTCATTTGACGGTCAAACTGGAAGATACTGTAATTTTGCTAGCAATCAATACACAATCAGCAGGCCAGATGTAAAACATTCCCAAACATTATTGGGATCATGAATTCATTTTTCAGAATGCTGATGGCATGAATGTTACAGTGTTTTATGAGTTGGAAGCAGGAAAAGACTTTTTGAATTTCTATGATGCGTCAAACAATTTGATTGCAAGGTGAGATTTCGACAGAAAAATAGCATAATGTTAGAAAGCATAAAGGTGAAATGTACTATGCAGGAATCGAGAACAATATACATTTTTAATGTTGCTTCAAATAACCAAAATAGCTGATAGTGAGCAAGCAATCAACGCTTTTGAAAAGATTTAAGACGCATTCTCTGTCAGAACAGGAAATAGAGCTGTACAGAAAAATTCAAACTAGTTTTTAGGCATAATATTATATATTATGAAAGTTGGGACATTTTTAAGATAAAAAATGTACATTTGGTTTGGATCCACCCAGTACGGTTCAAACGGTGACCAACTATGGTCAAAAAATGGAAATTTTTCTGGATGGAGATAATGGTTAGATTAGATTTGGAATAGCTTATTCTTGCTACTTTGAACACTTTTTTGTTGAGACCAAAATTCTAGCTTGTTTCCTTTCAGCTGAAAATTGCTTTTTGTTCCGATTTTGAAAAAAATCACTGAAAATCTGCCGTCGTGAAAAATTTTAACATTATTTCCAAAAAGATAACATCATATTCAAATCCGGCGGCCAAATAACACTAGACAATGCTTATTTAAATTTGAATATCCTGTGAATTAAGTTAGTTTTAGGTCAAAAAAGTGCGAAAAAATGAGGTTTCACCATGTGGGGGAGTACATGACAACTAAAATTTGCTCAAAATCGACCCACTCCAATTTCGATGAAATTTGCATCAGTAGTACTTTTGATGGGTAGTAATCTGGCAAAGTTTCAGCTTTCATTCTCATTGTCTTCATCTATTTTTGCACCTCTTATTTTTTTTTCCTGAAAATGGATTTGAAAGCAGTTTTTGCCAATTTTATGATGCTTCTGAAAATGTACGAAGACAATGAGAACAAACTCTGAAACTTTTCCAGAATGTTACCCATAAAAAAATTCATCTGGTATGAATTTCAACAAAATTAGAGAGGGTCGATTTTGGGCGAATTTTAGTTACCATGTACTCCCCCACATGGTGAAACATCAGTTTTTCGCACTTTTCGGTTTAAAACTGATTTAAGACACAGGGTATTTAAACTCAACTCAACAATTTCTAGTGTTGTTTTGCACGCCAAATTTGAATATGATGTTATCTTTTTGAAAATAATGTTAAAATTTTTCAGGACAGCAGATTTTTAGTGATTTTTTTCAAAATCGGATCAAAAATCAAAATTTTCGGCTGCATGGAAACGAGCTAGAATTTTGGTTCCAACACAAAAAATGTTCAAAATAGCAAGAATAACCTATTCTGCGTTGAATCTAAACATTATCTCCATCCAGAAAAATTATCATTTTTTGACCGAAGTTGGTCACCGTTTGGAACGTAATGGGTGGGACCGAACCAAATATGCATTTTTTACCTAGAAATGTACATGTAAAAATACCGGGCCTGCCCGCCAAGACCCGAGCCAAAGGCCCGTTAAAAAAAACTTGTATTTTTGAGCCAAATTTTGAGCTTACAATATAATTTTTCATATATTTTTTTTGTTTTTTTGATTGTTTGTCTGTTTGATCAAAAATAACCGAAAAAACTCGAAAAAAATGTTTTGATCGAAAAAAATTACATAACTGTCCCCCTTATGTTGATTTCTACAGAGAATGTGTCTTAAATTGTTTGTATCAAATCCTGGAATAGTCCCAAGCCACAATTTAGTGAAATTTTAGTGCAGGATGCGAGAAAATTATTGTAACAAGAAGAATAAGTCAAAACTTTTCAATAAATAGTCCAACCCGGGTCAAATTTTGACAGGACTTTATCGAAGGGACTTTTCGAAAAATTGAAGTTTTGTCTTTTCAAAACAACCGCACGGCAAGTTTACGTGTTTGTTTACTCGGTCACCCGCGCGATTTTTTTGAACAGACAATATAGTAACAAAATATATTATTAACAATATGAATTTTAGCTTCACGGGATACGATATTTCATCAAGCTCTTTCTATACCACAACACCAGTGCTGACTGCGAGATTTACTTCTGACAATCAGTCTGTTTTCCGTGGATTCAATGTGAATATCAAGCCTAATCCAAAATCTGCCTAATACGATAACAAATGCGTTTCACATTTTTCACATCTTTGAAATGAATGAACGAAAATCATGAATTTGAACAACTCCTAGAAACGTTTATCATGAAAACAAGACCGAAAAATGTTATGCACCCTAAACAGACGAGATACATGTGAATGTAAAGGCGGAATAAGTTGAAGCTCTTTTATACAGATTAACGTGAAAATCAAAATTTGGTTTCAAGAAGAGGGGTTTTTCAGGTAAGACCTAATAGGAAGTTTCGAAAGCCTGTCCAAAAATTGTGAGTATCTTCACCATATTCAAGAGACACATTTTTTCGATTGTTTTGAAAAAAAATCACCATGTACAGGAGGGAGGGGTGTAGAGAAGAGAGAAAAAGGGCGAAATCGGCCAAAAAATTTCAGACGAGAATTTCCAGCTTGCTGATGATATTATGACCTAAATTTTTTTACCATCGTGTTGCGCTTGTCTCAAACTATAAGTACTGAAGTTTTCAGCGAATTCTCAACGCTGTCTGAAAACACTTCTCTTGTAAGATAAACACACTGTCAGCGCAAACAGCTCGGTTTTTTCAAAAGATTCAAAAAATTGTCAATTGGTAAAATATTAGCTCATAGAATCTTCTCCTTACTAAAGGAATCAGTCGGTTTGAGCCCCCTGTCGGGGGCTCAACCTCCTGGCTTTGTTCATTGTATCTTACACTTAATTTTCTAATGTCAAGATTTTCCACTTTCAGAGTGCCCGAAACTTCCACGTATTTCAGTTTTTAAATTTTTTATGTTACTAATACAGAAATTTCTGGATACCGTAATTTCTCCGATAGAAGCCCACATCTATTTAGTGCCCACCTATAATAAAACATAGGTATTTTTTAAACCATTTCTGATTATTCCGGTTAAGTTTTGTTGGTTTTTTTGAGGGAAAAGATATCCGATTTTCTGAATTTCCGAGTTTCTACATGACATGTTTCTTGAAAATACATGTTTCTTGAAAAGAGAATACAGTTTTTTTGATTTTCTAAAGTCTCGAATTTTTAACCAAAAATCCCTTTTTCGAATTTCTGCGTTTCCGAATTTTTAAATTTTGATTTTCCGAATTCCTGAATGCTCAAGAATCGTTTATCAAGGTCTTTATTGACGATTTTGTTCTAAACTATTTAATATTTTGTTTTCTCGTTTAGAATTTTTTTGAATCTTTTTTTTTCAGATGAAAATAAGGGGAACTATGGTGCCATAGTTGCACCATTTTCGTGTTATGAATTTGTTCCCGGAACAAAACGTGATTAGGAAGTTTTTATAGTACCAGTCTTCAAATCGAATCGATTCTCACTCATTTCTTATGTTTATCGCCATGGCGAGAGGCTCAGGCGCAGGCTTTGCCTGCGCCATTTAGGATGAGGCACGGAGGACGTTAGCTCCGATTTGGCCCAAACTTGCCTAAAATATTTTACATCGAAAAAAAAAATAGTATTTTTTTTTGGCCAAAAGTCAAAAGGGGGCGGAACTACAGTAGCTCAAAGTTGAAATTTCAAAAATTATTATCGGCCATAACTCTGGAGTGCGTGAATCGATTCGGAGAAGATTTGGACCCTATAAGGAGACCCCCAGGAGGCATCTTTTGAGCAAAAAAAATTTAAAAAAATCGATTTTTAGATATCGATTTTTCGATTTTAAATTTTCAAACAGGTCGTTTGCGAAAACGTTCTTGTCAAATTTTTTAAATTTTTTATCACGTATGTGCCTTAAAAAGGTCTTTGAGCACCAAAATTTTTGAAAAGATTGTACGACCAGTTTTTGCGCACGACTCAAATCTATTTTTCAAACGCGCGCGGCACGGTGCCGGTGCGTGATGGAGTTTTGGTGTCAACAAAAAAATGTTGGAAATTTTTTCCTCTACAACTTTGCTTCTTGAATTTATTTGCGGAAATGCACCCGAACCGAGTTATGGCGCCCGAAATGGGACCAACTTTTTTTGGACCCCGTGCACCAAAATGCATATTTTTTCACCGTTCCTAGACTTGTCGACGCAGAATTCAAAAAAAAATCGATTCCCCCGGTCAAAATGGGGTCATGTCCGGATGCAAAAAAAGTTACGGCGAAAAAACGATTTTTGCGTTTTTTTACAGTTGGACCTAGCGGGCGCGGTTTAACAGATAGACCCTATGCCAAAGAGCACAGTTGTAGAGCTCATCGAGACGCATCGATTTGTTTTTTTACCAACTCTCTACGACCATTTTGAAGCAAGTTACGGTGGTTTTAAAAAAATGTACTGAGGCTCTGGCGGCCACAGAGAGCGCGCACTTTTTTTTTTTTTTTTCATTTTTTCGAGTACTGTAGGGGTCCCTGAGTGTAAATTATGTGTTTTTAAGTATTTTTAAGATTTTTGCACGCTTCTCCCAACTTCAAGCTTCTTCTAACTTTAAGCTTCTCCTAAATTTAAGCTTGGATGGAGGCGCTGTCGCGCCTCCATTAAAACTTTTAAATACATTTCCATCATATCATTTCACCAGAAGGCTACAATAT